TTCTGGATGAGACCTCTACCTGGGGTTTAGAAAGGATGGCAGCTTCTGAGTGTTAGGAAATTCACCAGCAATAAAAGAAATGAAGGCACAAAGCAGTCAGCAAGAGTAAGAAACCAGCAGTGTTCAGTGATTGGGCCAATCTGCCTGTCAACATTAGATTTAAGTGGAGGGAGTTAGGGTGGGGAGCTACCATCCCAGGCTTATGGTCTCAGTGCATTTCCGTGAGCCTCTTAGAAGCAGCCAAGCCTCACACAATTGGGTACCATCACTATCAGCCATGCTACACAGCAAAGATGATTTTCATAAAAGGGGTTGATAGCAAGATTTTTCACCTTCTGCTTGATGTCTGGCTAGGATTCTACCCTTAAAAAATTCTGTCCTTAGAGTGCCAAATTCAGAAGATGATTTTGTCCAAGTTTTACCACCATATTTTTCTGAATCTCTTAAAATAGAATTAGTCATAATGTAGAAAAAGGACCCAACATACAAAATGGGTAGGCATATAGAAAAAGGCCAGCTTTGTGAGATACATTTGTCCTACGAGTAGTAAAATCTCTTTTACATCCAAAACGTGTTACTGAAGAACATTTGACATTGCATTAAGCAGGCCACTTTCCTTAGTGATTTGCTATGGGGATGTGGGAATATTACACGCTTGTTAAATTTTCAGGTTGATGTTTCCAGAAAGAAAATCTTGTTCTCCCTCTCACCCTACCCCGCACTTACAAACTATCATTCTTGACTCAATACTATATAGCTAAAACTTGTACAGAAAAATTATATGTAGGGTCTGTTCATGCCTTGAAAAAATGACCTAAATCGTTGGGCACCTTTTCCAACTAGAAATGAGCTCTCTCTGCATCTCAGACCAGCATCTCAATGGAATGACTAGGTGTCAGGGAGAGGTGCAGGCCAACAACTGGATCTCTGGAGGTAGCTTGATGCTCTCAGGAGAGAGACTGCCAAGTAGAAGAAGCCACTGGCTGCCAGCACCACTGCCTCATGCCTCCAGCTGGCCCCTGTGCCTGATCCAGGCATCTGTTGGTTCCCATGGACTCTTATGCGTACAAATTGAAAACAGGCCTGGTTTCAAATGTAAGTCACACAAATGACCTTCTCTCTCAAGGACTCCGGTAAAGATATCCCAGTTAACAACTCCCACCACTCTTCTAGCAACCCAGGCTGGAGGGTGATATGAATACCCTCACTGCAGAGGCGAGTAAACCAGAGTTCAAAGAATTTGAGGGCAGAGCTAAGGTTTGAACCTGTATCTTTCAATCTTAAGCTAGAACATCTTCCATGAAGCCCATCAGTGGGAGGATTTGTACTTTGACGGGCAGGAGAAAAAGAGGTTGGGATCCAGGCTCCAGGAGAGTGCTTTAGACAGCCCTCCTCAGCCTGTGAAGCAGGTTCCTCTGCCTGTTGCCCTTTTCTGGCTCTTTCTTAGTTCCCACTCCTTAGTTGAGCTCATGTTTTGCTTTTCAGATGATGGCTCACTTTTCATTCCTTTCCCAAGTTCTTTTGTTTCTACTTTGAACATACCTTGTATGGCAGGGGTTATTTAGCTGCTTGGCACTTGATTGGGCAGCCAGTAAGGGAGACCAGAGTGCACTTACACATTCACAGACCAGTACTCGAGACAGTCACACTGAAGACCATAATGCAAGTCAAATGTGAGGCATGCTATGTATGTGCTTTGTCCAGTGAGCCCAGGGAAAAGACTTGGATGACAACAACTGTTGTCTTCATTTCTTCTCAGTCCATCTCCTTGCCTCAGCTGCTATTTTACCACCAAGAAATCAGCAAAACAAAACAGTGGGTGGGATTTTTTTTTTTAAACTCACCAAAAGCATCCTTATGGGTAAAACCAGTCTAAACAAAACTGTCAAGAGAAGCATATTCGCCTACCTATGAAAAGGGACACAAAAAAGTGTAGACTGAATTCTGCTAAACTAAATCTGGAGGCAGAGGGGTTGTGACAAACTCCATGTCTTTAGAGTCAAGGGAGCGACTAGACCCCAGATCTCAGCCGCTGTTCATCTTATTATATGAAGAGATGAGTTGTTTCCATGGCAACGGTGCATGCGCATTTATGCCTCTTTGAGCACTTGAGAGTCCATCTCCACTCAGTTTCCTAAGCAGAGCCTGTGGTGCTTGTCAAGACCCTTCTCAGAAACCATGTGCCATAGGGAAGGTAGCAAAATGATTCCAGAAGCGGCTCAAGAAGCCACTGCCACTGGCCTAGCAGCAGCTTTGCCTGTGATCTCTGCCTTTATGTGTTAGGTTGCCGCTGGCAAGGGCACTGTAAGTCCTGCTAAACAGAGGTAGTTAAGGAAGACGCTAGACTCGGGGCTGTGAGAGCTGACCGCACTTGGTGATCATGCACTGCCCCTACCCTTCTTGTGGCTGACTCGAGTGGGCCCTGCACGCTCACTATTGTCCTCTTCATATTGAAAACTCTTCCTGCGGTGGACTCAGGGATGAGCACTCAACCTCATTAAGGAAGAACCCAGGCTCCCCCAAGTTGCTGGGAACTCCAACAGACAAGCCTCACTGCCTGGCTCCTCAGAGGCCTCTGAAATTCCACCCAAGCTGGTGCTGTCTCCCAGAAGTTGTCCCCCTCCAGCGACTTGCTGTGAGGGGCAATGCAGACTCAGAATAGCTCTGTATGTTCGCCCCATGGGCCAGATGAGGCTTTGTTAAACTAGCGTCACAGCTCAGCTTCACCTCTGCCAAGCTTTCCAGCAGGTGTGGACCATGCGAAATGCTGGGAGAAATGTCCGGCCCTGCTCATCTCCGTCTCAGTTCTCAGTCTGTTTACAGGTGCCCCAGGTCGGGCACTTCCCTGAGGAAGCCACTTGGGTAATGACCACCAGGGACATGTCAGGATTCTTGGACACTAGATGCAGTATTCAGCTCACAGTCATACAAATCCGATGGGCACCAGTGCTTCCATCCTGTTCTAGTACCATATTTGAGGGAATATGTGCGTCTATGTTCTCTATGTAACTGTGACAGTGACCAATTGCAGTCTCCCTGGAGGAGGGATTCACACACTCAGATGCTACCCCTACCAGGAGTGACTTCAGTTGTCCCTCATCCTTGTCCCTCAGTCAGAAGCAACGCCTCCCTTTCTGAACTCTTTTGCTCTTGGCATTTGGTTTTTGTGACCACTTTCATTCATAAGCATCTATCAAATAAAACACACCATGTGCCCTGTGTGGTGCCCAGTGCTGGCAATGCAGAGAGGGAAGGCATGGAGAAGAGGGGAACTCAGACTATACTAGATACAAGCAAGTCAACACATTTAGGCTATATTGTTGTTGGTGATATGGTCAGTGATACAATAGAAGTAAGTGTGAAGTATGTTTAGGAGAGTTACCCAGCAGGGCCTGGGGTCCATGGGGCTGCGGCAGCAGCAAGAGGTGTTCAGGTGAGATTTCCTAGAGAAGTGGTGGGGAGCTAAGTCTTGGGGTCTGTGTTAGAGATGTGAGTTAGCTACCTACAGCTGCTGTAACAAATTACTACAAACTCAGTGACTTAACACAAATTCATTCTCTCACAGTTTTGGTGGTCAGATGTCCAAAATCAGTTTTACTAAGCTATAGTCAAGGTGTCAACAGGGCTGGTTCCTTCTGAAAGTTCTAGAGTTCCTTGGCTATCCAGCATTTTGAAGCTACTCACATTCCTTAGCTTGTGGTCCCTCCCTCCATCTTCAAAGTCAGCAACATAGCATCTTCTCTCCCTTCACACCAGTATTTCTATCCTTACATCTTCTCTATCTTTGCTGTTATAAGAACTTTTGTTTGGTGCTGGGTTCACTCAGCTAAATCAGGCTAATCTACACATATCAAGATCCTTAATTTAATCAGATTGCAGCTTCTCTTTTACCAAGGAAGGCAACAGATGCACAGATGCTGGGGATTAGGATGCAGAAACTTTGGGATGAGGTGCTATTAAACCTCTGACATCAGTCTGTGCACCCAGGCTAGCATTCTGGGCAGAGGAATGTGCAAGGGAGGGAAGCCCAGCTCACTGTCATCTGCGCAGCTGCAGATTTCACAAAGTGGAAGTGTAGTTCTGAGAGGGGGATGATGATGATCATGATGGCCAGAGATGCAAGGGAGCAGGTTTTCAGGACCTCGGTTTTGAGTGTGACTTATGGTAATTTTTGTGCCTTATATCTCTATTTGGTCATAAGTGCCTGAGTCAGGATCAGGTTCAATGTCTTCTTGATGCCACAGCAGCTCTGCTTTGGTGATGGCTCATGACAAGACTCAACCCTTTACCAACACATGACAGCTTTGGACCCCGCAGTGGCTGTGTGGTCTGAAGGGAGATCTGGAAACATCCGAGTCCAGTGGACATGCTGCTGACTATCTTTATCTTGGCAGTGTGACTGCTCTTCTTGAAGCTCACTGTGTAGGGACATTTCTCGAGCCACTTGTGTGAGGGGGCACAGGCTGGAGAAGGCTTTAGTGTGTTACACAGAGACTAGCCAAGTTATCCTTGCTGAAGTGGGAAGATAGTCCATGAAGGCTCATTGTCCTCTTCTTTCTTCTGAATCTTCCCATTATATAAAGTTCTCCAGAAGATTCTGTGGGCAGAGGTGAACTGCACATATTATAATATGCAGCTCAAAAGGGACCAAAATGGGAAGCTCTCATGGTAAACTCTAGGTCCGGAGCAGAGCTAGAAGACATGTGTACTGCAAAGTGAGCTGTTATCTGTTACATAGATAGGAAACTGTGAAAGTGCTTGGTAAACTACAAAGTGCTGCCTATCCATGAGGAATACCTCATGGATAGTTATTAATATAAACATTGTTTCCTCGGGAATTAGGCTGTTTTCCAATCTTCTGTGCAATAAAAGAGATAAATGTCTTTTTCCTCTAGAATTCTTAGAACCCACTGATGAAACTCCTTGTTGATCAATTTGCCCTTTGATGTCCCTGGTTAAAAAAAGTTTTGCTTTTCTCCTCCTCTGCATCTCCTCCCCAGACACTGAAGGATGCCAGCGACAATGCACGCAAGGACTTCCACCGCGAGGCTGAGCTGCTGACCAACCTCCAGCATGAGCACATTGTGAAGTTCTACGGTGTCTGCGTGGAGGGTGACCCACTCATCATGGTCTTTGAGTACATGAAGCACGGGGACCTGAACAAGTTCCTTAGGTGAGGGAGACCAGAGGGGAAGCTGGGCTTGAGGAGAAAACCGACTTCCAGCTCTGACAGTCTGGAGGCCAGGACAAGGAGTTCCTGGGAAGGGGCACCTTCCTGTCTTTAGAACTGCCCTTCCTAATAACTGTCCTCACAGATGCCAGAGAAAGGAACAGAAGAAAAAGAAGGCCACAGTGTCTTTCTTTTTCCTCAAGCAACTGGCTCTACATGGCGATGCTGAGGACTCGATTCAACTTGCTTTTCCTGAGCATTTATTACATTAGGTGGCATGTACTCTAGAGATGGGTGTCTTAGAGGGCCTATGGAGGTTTGCAAGTGGGTAAGAAAATATTATTCAAAGCCCAAGATCCTGTAAGAGCTAAGGTACCAAGGTGCGTCCATGAAAAGTGTGTTCAAGTGGGAGTGAAGGGTCTGGGTTAGCAGACTATGTGATGAACCAGGGGAAAGGTACAGGGAAAGAGCAGGAGTTCTCAGAACTGGGAGGGTGTTGTTTGGACTTTATTGTGGTGATGGGCAGGTCAGCAGTTCAGAGGACATACACTAGAAAGAACAATGCTCCCAAAGAATGAAAGGCTTTGAAAGGGAAAATGAAGAGGTAGAACCACACATAATGCAGCCACTGACGCTTCAGGATCATGGATATTGCTGAAACCTCAAGGTCATAGAAATATGAACAGCTTCAACCTGTGGACTTTCAAATTAAGCAGCCTCTAGAAGAAAGCAAGTCAGGCAGAGAAAAATGATGACTATCAAAGGGAGTTGTTGGGTCGTTAAATAGGATTAATGTCACTTAGATCCCTACCATTGGCCCAGTTAGGTTTAGTTCAGCTTCTTATGAAGTCCCCTCTCTCTAGTGTGGAGAGGAGGAGGCACAGAAGGAGCCAGAGAGAGAGAGCTTAGTGTGAGTGTAACCCACCTGAAGAAAAAGCTGTTTTGGAAAGTGAGGCTACCACCCACAGTGGAGGAGGCTCTACCCTCTGCGGAAACACAGTGTAAGGCAGCGTGAGCAAGGACCTTGTCCTCAGTCATAGGTGAAGGGGAATCTCAGTTTTGCATCTCCTAGTTAAGTATCACAGCTTCCCTAACAAGAATATGGAACTGGCAGGGTGGCATGAAAATGGCGCTAGAAAGAGTAGAGAGATCTTTTAACATAGGTGCAAATAGAATGCGTGAACTGAGAAGATCTTTGGCTTCTGCTGGCAATGGTTGTGCTGCTAAGACGGTCACAAGATGAGCTGATCTTGATAAGCTAGAGGATGTCGGTGGTCACCCTGGGGTGGCCCACAGTGAATGTTACCATCCTCTCTTTTCCTGGAAAGAGAAAAAGCACGCTGAATCAGGCCTCCCACGGTGAAGGAAGTCAAGCGATGTCTTAGCAAAGACACAGATGGAAGTGACATATAGAATACTAGGAACCGAAAGAGTCAAGAGGTCCAAGTAGTAACAGTTAGGAGATCCAGGTTCTCCCAGGAAGGGCTGCATTATCCTTCCTGTCCTGCATCAGTTTCCGGCACCCCATCAGTGGACTTCTGGGTTCTTCTTTTTATTTTTTTTTGTTTTGTTTTGTTTTTTTTTGGTTTTTCTCCGGTACCAGGAACCGAACTCACAAACTTGCGCTTGCCAGGCAGGCGCTTTGCCGCTGAGCTAAATCCCCAGCCCCTGGGTTCTTCTTTTTAGAGATTTCTACTCGTAGGTGGATCCAAGTGAGATTGTTTTTAAGTCTTGTCTGGTTCTGACATGTATTTCTTTTACAAATTGGCTGGCTCAAATCCAGAAAGAGTAGCCACAGTGCTGCCTGGGGTATCTTGGTAAATAGGGCAACTTAGAAGAAACAGGAAAGATGTCAATAATAGAGGCAGACTGACTGCCTGCACTTTTGGCCTCAGTTTTCTTACCTTTAAAGGGGGTATAATGTCCCTGTCAAGGACAAATGTGAGGACTGTGTTAAGGGAAGGTAATCAGTAATTGTCCCATTGTCCTCTGGACCCTTCATATTTTCCTCTCCAAAGTGGTCCTCTCTAAATGCTGTAGCAAAATCCAGAAGTACTCACCTGTACACAATTGAATGCTTCTGAGTATGTCAATTGTGTGTATGTGTTGTTATTGTATGTGTGTGTGTATGTGTGAGAGACAGAGAGAGACAGAGAGAGACAGAGACAGAGAGAGAAAGAGAATTACTACTTGGTTCTTTCACTTTCTGACTCTGTCAGCCACTGCCCTCTCTGCTCACCGCTTCCTGAAGGAGCAGGTGCCTGGCTCTGCCTTGGTGTCCTGCACAGGGTGTGAAGCAATTGGAAACCTACCCTGCTTGATTTGAGAATCTTCTAAATGCTGGATGCAAGAGCACTGCCATGCAGAGTGAGGGAATCAGGTGCAGTAATGCCTTGCAAGGCTGGGATGTCCTCTGTGTGGAGGAAACTTGGTGTACAGTGGTAACTGATGGTCCTGCATGTCCTTGGCACTGCCCAGCAAACACAGAGGTCTTCTGTTATTGCGCCATCCTTCTCATCCATCCAAACGCTCACAATGAGCACAGCAGGGCCAGCCTGATGCTAGGCAGGGTAGGAAAAGAGGAGGAAAACATAATCCTTGTTTTCAGGGAAAGCTTCTCAGTTTTCCTCTTAGAGTCACTCCAGAGTTCCCCTCTAGCAAGGAGAAAGAGAAGTGTTGTTTTTCAAACAATTTCAATTGATATTTATTGAGTACATTCACAAGTTCTTTAAATGTTTCAACTTGCATAAATCTGATAAAATAGTAGCACCATCATTCCCATTAATGTTTGAGGACACTGAGTTACACAGTTAGCAAGTGACAGGACCAGATTCAAACTCCTGACTTCCAAGTCTATAGTCTGCATGACAACTGTGAGATTCATTATACACTGTGCACGTATATGGAAAATCACACTATATCCCCCAATACACATCACTATTATCGTTCAGTTGAGTTGTTTGAGTTTAAATTTTGAAATAAATAAGCTCACTTTAATTTGAAAAAGCAGAAAGGAACTAACATGCTGTACAATACCAGAATAAGCACAGTGTGGTGAACTGCCAGCCACAACCCATGCTGGGGACAACAGCCCAGGAAGGCTGAGCAGGCTGCGGGTCAGGCCCTGGGCACTGCTCCTCACTGCTCAAGCCAGAGTGAGGGTGCATCTGCACCCTGGAGACTGTTCTCCTAGAAGAGGGAAGTGCATCTTAGTGTTCTCCCGGAAGAGGAAAAGTGCATCTTAGTGTTGTCCTAGAAGAGAGGAAGTGCATGTTAGTGGAGATGTGTGTCTAAGTGTTCTCCCAGAATTGGGGAAGTGCATCTTAGTGCTCTGCTGTAATTGGGGAAGTGCCTGTTAGTGTTCTCCTAGAGGAAAGGAAGTGCATCACGGTGTTCTCCTGGAGACGGGGAAGCGCATGTTTGTGTTCTCCTGAAAAGTGCATTTTCATGTTCTCCTTGAAGAGGGTAAGTGTATATTAATGTTTACCTGGAAGAGATGAAGTGCATCTTAATGTTCTCCTAGGAGAGAGAAAGCACATCTTAATTTTCTCCTGGAAGAAAGGAAGTGCATTTCATTGTTCTCCCAAAAGAGAGAGATGCACCTTAGTGGAGAAGTGCATCTTGGTGTTCTCCTGGAAATGAGGAAGTGGAATTTAGTGTTCTCCTAATAGAGAGGAAGTGCATCTTAGTGCAGATTTTTGCATCTTAGTGTTTTCCTGGAAGAGGGAAAGTGCATTTTAGTGTTCTACAAGAATGGAAGTGCATCTCAGTGTTCTCCTGCAAGAGGGAAGTGCATCTTAGTGTTCTTCTGGAAGAGGAGAAGTGCATCTTAGTGTTTTACTAGAAGAGTGGGAGTGCCTCTTAGCGTTCTCCTGCAAGAAAGGAAGTGAATCTTAGTGTTCTACTGGAAGAGAGGATCTGCACCTTAGAGTTCTCCCTGAAGAGGGGAAGTGCATCTTAGTGTTCTCCTGGAAGAGGGGAACTGCTTCTTACTGTTCTCCTAAGAGTGGAAGTGCAGGTTAACTTTTCCCATAAGAGAGGAAGTGCATCTTATTGTTCTCCCAGAATAAAGGAAGTGCCTCTCAGTGGAGAAGTGCATCTCAGCATTCTCGTGGAGAAGGGTAAGAGCATCTTAGTTTTCTCCCAGAAGAGAGGAAGCGCATCTTAGTGTTCTTTTGGGATAGGGGAAGTGCACCTTCACTTCCAGGATTGGCAGGAATCACCTATAGACTTTATGTTCCTCTTCAGACCTTGTTCAGAAACCCAGCCTGTCCTCCTTTTGGGGCAGATCTTTCTGCTTTAAGGAAGTACCCAGAAGCTTCTGCTGATAAAAGAGTGCTGTTCACAGAGCCTGTGTGAGCAGCTGAAGAAGCTGCTTAAGGATGTGGGACCATCCTCCCAGCCAGGACGGCTAGGATGAGGACAGCCATGCCCTGGAGGGTCTTCAGCCTCCTGGGGCCTGCAGAGTGGAAGGCTGAAGGATGGGACTTTGCAGAGAGGTTGCCTTTTGTATAGGCTTCAGGCCTTCCCTCTGTCCAGGAGTCATGCTTCTGATTTGTCCAGTTTTCTAGGGTTACAGTAGGCTGTGCCTTATCTACAGTTTATTTCATTGAACTAAGTCAATGGCCACATTCTTTAGGTCTTTATTTGGGATCTTCATTTATGTGCACCTCTAGGTCCTTGTCCTGGGTGTTGAGAACTCAATAAAGTTAAGAAAGTAGAGCGAAAACTTTCCCCGTCCCTGAAAGCAGTGGTCCTCAACCTTTTTGACCCAAGGGACCAGTTTTGTGGCAGCCAGTTTTCCATACAGAGGAGGTTTCACACCCTGCCCTCCACCCTTCAGCTATCTGCACAGGCAGGCTCCTTACAGGCCACAAACGGGTACTGGTCTGTAGCCCAGGGATTGAGGGCCCCTGCTCTAAACAGTTGGGCTGGATTAACTGTTAGTGAAAGGATACTTTGTGTTAGCAGAGCATAATTTGTCTTTCCTTACCACCTGTCTATATCTTTTCCAGAAAAAAAGGTGTTTTTTGTTTGTTTGTTTGGTTGGTTGGTGGACTGTTTGGAAAGCCTTTCCCTCTGACTTTCCACTGAAAGGTTGGGAAGCATTGTACCATCTCAGTCCATTCTCACATGAAAACCCTCAAAGACATTCAGTGAGTTAGTTTTATTCATTTTATGGAACGAAGAAACAAGCCCAGAAAGGTTATTTTACCCAGGGTCACACAGCCATTGTGTTAGGCTTGGATTCAAATTCAGTGTTGATACGGACACCGCGTTTTGGGTGCTAGAGTCTCCCTCTAGAAGCAGTTTTTAGGTCCTTTCTGTCCTGAACAAAGAACTGCTCAAGACAAGCACAAAAACACAAATAGTAGTGAAGTTTTACATTTATTAAAGATAGCAAAAGACAAGAAAAAGTGCTCTGCAGAGAGAGTTTGGGCCACTAAAGATAAGAAAGGAGATGCACTCCGCAACCACCAGGTTGGCCACTGAGAGTTCACAGTGGCCTTGGTTTCACATAGCTCTAAAACATGTAAAACAGAACAAAAAGATTTAAAAATACACCAAAACTCCACATTTTAAAGTATCAGACTCTCCCCAGCAAAGGAATGATTGTGAGTGGCTCAGAGGAGCCCTCCTATGTGTTTCCCTATGTGTTTCAGTGTTGATACGGACACCGCGTTTTGGGTGCTAGAGTCTCCCTCTAGAAGCAGTTTTTAGGTCCTTTCTGTCCTGAACAAAGAACCCTGTGCTGAGCACAGGGCTAGGAGGAAGGTGGCCTGGAGCGAGTGGCATTTTTTAATGGGAATGAGAGTCCTGGCTTACCCTGGGTGGGTGAGGACACCCTGGGGATCTGCTGAACTGGGCACAAGGGAGCTCCACAAACACCGTGGCCACTGATGAGGTAGACGGAAAGCTCCGGGGCTGGTGGTGATCCCTGCAGGGATCAGTCTGGGGCTCGGGTGCTCTCTGCCTCTCTACTGTGTGAGGCTTTGTGGATGGGGTTGGCATCTGTGGGATGCTGGGATGCTCTGGCCACATATTTAAGAGAGCCCCTCTCCCCAGCATTTTCCTTTACTAGGGCTATTTTTTGCTCGTGAGTCAGAAGCTCTGGCCAGGGTTCTGAAGTCCCCAAAATGCAATTCTGTCAGCATCAGAATGGGGGCATCAGGCAGGCTCCTGAGATCCCAGAATTCCACACCCGAGGGGATGAAACAGCCTGGGTGCTCTAGCGGCTTTAGAGGCAAAGCTGGGTGCTGCGAAGCATCTTAGTCTTTCACCGGAAGTGAATGATGCGAAGCATTTTAGTCTTAGTACCGGAAGTGAGGCTGGCAGACAGCCCCTCTGGTCAGAGTTGAGGCTCCAGCTGTGCCTCCCCTCCATGTTTTCCCTAGGGCGCATGGACCTGATGCAGTGCTGATGGCCGAGGGCAATCCACCCACGGAGCTGACCCAGTCACAGATGCTACACATCGCGCAGCAGATCGCCGCAGGCATGGTTTACCTGGCATCCCAGCACTTCGTGCACCGCGACCTGGCCACCCGTAACTGCCTGGTGGGGGAGAACCTACTGGTGAAGATCGGGGACTTTGGGATGTCCCGGGATGTGTACAGCACTGACTACTACAGGGTAAGTGGCTCTTTTTTCCTGGAGATCCCCACTCTGCCTCTTTGTTGCAGCTGCCATGCCGAAATATCACAGACCAGGGGACTCAATAGAAAGACACTCCCCACAGTGCTGGACGTTGCATGTGCAAGGTCAACGGGTGGCAGATTTGACTTCCTTTCAGGCATTTCTCCTTGCCTGCAGGTGGCTGCTTCCTTGGCATGTCCTCACTTTGTTTTTAATTCGCCCAGGCCCCCGGTGTCTCTTTCTATGTCCAAATCTCCTCTCTTCTTGTAAGGACACCAGTTATGTTGGAGGAAGGCCTTCCCTCCCTGTGGCCTTTCTTCGCCTAATCACCCCCTCAAAGTCTGGTGTCAAGTGCATTCATAAGGTGGAGTACTGGGGGAAGGTCTTCAACATATAAATGTTAGGGGGACACAGTTCAGCCCATGATACCCTTCCTGCCTTTCTGCATCTTCCTAGAGCAGGGTGTGACATCCCCAAGAGGTACATCCTCCACAGGAGAATTTCCAGAGGAATCTGAGGCATTGGGTGGATTTCTGGTAAGCATGAGAATATAGGATTCAGGAGAGCTTAGCTTTAATTCTGTATACTGAAGCCTTTGTTCTGGGTCTTATTCACTTGAATAATAATATACTAGATTGTGGGAGCCCCCTTAGAGAACTATGTTGGTTGAAAGTGGTGCAGCTAGTGGCCTTTGAGAAGTAAGAAATGCTGTCTTGTCCCTGAATAGGTACATGTAGCCTGCCAGCGGCTCCACTGATAAAACCAGTAAGGGGTAGAGTTAAAGGCAGGAATTCAAATCCCCTGATTACTCAGAATTGGCCTCCTGCGAATGTCAGATGGACTAGCTAAGATCTTGGGAACTTGAGGGTGATAGAGAATGGCATTCCTAGAAACACTGAAGTTGATAGAGTGAAGGTTTGAGGCGGTATTACACAACCCCATACCCTCTATTTGGTTTTGTTTGAGTCACTTGACCTCCAAGGGGAGAGGAAGGAAATAGCAAGGGAGGGTGTAGGGAATCACATGCTGGATGTGTGTGGCCTTAGAGCAGGAGACATACAATTTAACCACCTTTCATAGAAAGGTGGGGCTGGGGAGGGATAGGCCTTTCCTCACCTTTGCTCTCTCATGATTGCGTATTTTTAGGAGGCATCTTAGTTTGTTTCTTGTACCCATGTGTAGCCTTCCTGACCTCCACAGCCTCTACATTTCAGCAGAGCCAAATTTGCTACAATTGGTTTAAGCAAATGAATCCATTGCTTGCTGCATATTCTTCTGTAGATTGTTTGTGTTTTGTTTTGTTTTGTTTTTTCTTTTGCTGCCTTGGTAAGCATTGTTCATACTTTGTGCTGCAAGAAGGAATAGAGAACAAATTGAAAAGGATTCTCCTGGGTGCATTTTCAGGAAACAAACAAACACATAATTTTAACCTCAAATGTTCAAAATGGAACTTTGAAGGACTTCTCTTGAGTCTAAAAGTGACTAGCTCACTCTGGATATCTCAAACACTGAAAATGTTTTACTTACCAGTGGAAGATTCTGCTTTATTAATTAGTTCTGCTTCTGTGGCAGACTGTGGGAATAGGACAGCTCTCAGTCTCATAAGAAAAGAAAGACATGAGTGCTTCCCTAAGTAACAGATTTACTGATTTTTCTGAATATTTAAGGGCCCAAGGAACAGGCTTCTCTTTAGCAGTAGGTGAATAAAGGTTTCAAAGTGTCTGAAACAAAGTAAGTGTTCAACAAATGTTCCAACCTAATCATTACCCAAACAGTAATGATACTCTTCATCCTAATCAAGGATTAAACTAGGTAGCACACAATTATTTTTTGACAGGAATCTCTATGGAAATAATTCAGAGAACAAGTATGGAAAATTTCAAAATTATGAAGATAAATTGCTCAATTCAGGAATGGGCAAAAGGTTTGAATAAACATTTCTCCAAAGAAAATGTCCAAGTGACCAATAAGCACATGAGAAACTGCTTGGCATCATTAGTCATTAGATAAGCATGAAGAAAAGCTGCAAGGATATATCACTTTTCACCTATGGGTAGGGATATAATAAAAAGATAGTAGTAAATGTTGACAGGGATGTAGAGAAATTCCACAGAGTGAGAATGAAATATGGTGCAGCTCCTTTGGAAACCACTTTGGTAGTTCCTCAAAACATTCAACATAGAGTCACCGTATGACTCTACAATTTTAATCTCATGCATATAGCCCAGAGAATTGGAATTATATATTCACACAAAAACTTGCACATAGAAGTTCTTGCAAGCATTATTCATACTTACTAAAGAGTGGAAAACATTTATCTCTCCACCAGCTAATCAACAGATAAACAAAATAAGTAGTTAGCAATACAAAGGAATGAAGTGCTGCAACATGGGTAATTTTTAAAGATATACTTAGTGAAAGAAGCCAGACATAGCACGTCATGTATTGTATGATTGCATTTACTTGAAATGTCCAGAGTAGAAAAATCCATGGAGAAAGGAAGTGGATTAGTAGCTCCTGGGAATGGGGGAAAAGGAGGTTGAGGTCCTGGGTTGAGGGTTTCTTTGGGGTGTAATGAAAATGGTCTAGAATTATACATTTGTGATAGTTGTGCAATACAGTGAGTATACAAAAAGCAATGTACTGCAGTGTGTACTTTAAAGAGGTAGATATTATTGTTTTAAAATTATACCTCAAAAGAGAAAACTTCTGAAAAGGAAAATGCTAGTGAATTAATGACCATCATTATGAACATAAGAAGTCCATATTGGTCATTTATGCACTATAAAACACTGGTATTTACCATCTACCATACTTTATCATTTGTTGAGAAAATCCCACACTTTGGTGATGAGATCCTGAAGTACTACTTCCTGCTGGATCAATTGAAGGAAATAATGATTCCTATTTCCTTTACTTGTTAGATATTCTTGGAACTATCCCAGTTATTAACAAATGTGCATCAGAGGTCACATTAATTTCATTATCCCTACCCTGTGGTCATTATTAAGTGACAGTTGTAGGATCTGTACATTAGTGAGGTTTTGTTTGTTTGTTTTACTGAGAACAAAGTAGAAGAACTAGCATTATGCTGGTCTCTGTTTTTAGTGGGAATGTGAAAGAAAGTTGGGGAAGTAGATGGTAGATGAGAGATCTGACAATTGGATAGCAGCCATGAGGACAAAGAAATATAAATTTTATTTTACCTTCTCTAAAATTTTGACACAATGGTCTACCATTTGGTTTCATGAAAGTATTATAGGGATATTTTTGCTCATTGAAGTAGCATATCTACTGCCATAGATATACCTATTCTGAACTGTCCGTTCTGTTGAGTTTGTCAAACAGATAAGCAGAAATTTTGCTGGGTTTTACAGAACTCCAGTGTGCCTGCCAGTCCCTGAGCACTGCAGCTTCTGCATTACTTATCCCCCATTGGATCACTGACAAGCTCAGCCTTAAGCTCGTTCCCACCATGGTGTTTCCTCATCTTCTCTGTCACCGAGTGCTTTCCTTATGGTTCTGCTTTTCTGCCTGCCAGCACCTTAAATTTTTCTTTCTTGTTTTCTTCCTGTCCTCTTCAACAGCCTATGTCAAACTCCAAGGTTCTCACCTGCAGTAGCTGATATGGGCTTGTCTGGTCACTTTTCTCTCATTGCTGAGACAAACGTCCTGATGCCCAAAATTAAGGAAGGAAAGGTTTATTTAGCTCACAGCTTATGAAGGTTTCAGTCCATACTTGGCTGGCTCCAAGGCAAAGTGGCACATGGCAGAGGGCAACCGTTCATGGTAGTGGGAAATAGCAAAGACAGCAAACAGCAAAAAGGGAGGAGCAGCAAGAGCAAGCCTCTTTCCTCCTTATATTGTATGCAAGCTACCGCCCCAGGGTGGGTGTAACACTCACATCCATAATCCCAGCCTTGGACCATGAATTAATCAAAAACTCTTGAAGCCTGCCCCATGACTGCACGAGGTTTTGGAGGGACATCTCGACACAAACCCTAACAGGGCTGTCATCACCAATTGCAAGAACCATTTCTGCCAGAGTCATGAGGGAGGCATTCTATGTTTGCCTCGGCTATCTTGTATGGAAGAAGGATGATCAGAAATGGAGTCAAAAGGAGCCAATTGAGTCAACTCAATTCCCAGTACTCAAGAAGTCACATGTTCCTTATCTTTAGGACAGAACCAAAGCCAGTAGAAACCCAAGCTTTCTGTCCATGGTGGCTTGTGAGCTAGCTTGTGTGGGGCCCAAGGCTCTGTGCCATTGTGGTGGGAGTGGTCAGTAGCAGAACTTCCTCTTTCAGGAAGAAGCTGCCTGCATCAGGAAACAATGGCCTCATGGCTTTCACTCTGTTGCAGTGGAGCTAATTATACTCTCCCACTGAAGGGAGGAATTGGAACACTGCATTTGCATTGAGACCAGCCCGACAGGGCAGTTCCAAACTTACTGTAGCATTTATGTTCTCTGAATTGTTTTAATTAGCACCTCCACAATACTAGTCTTCAGTTTTGTTTTTTCATTCCTTCCTTTCATGGGCAAAACTTGAGATTTAGAAATATTTGAGCCAGATTTCTGTCACTTTCTGCCTGTTGGAGACCTATGATCTTTGTTCATTGCCATGTCACTATGAATACTTTGAAAAAATTTTCATGCACACATTGGTAGTGTTCACTGTTTGGGTCTGATGTATGCTTAAAATTAATGTGGTCCTGAGTTCCATTCCCAGTACTCACAAGAAAAAAAAAAAATAATGAATGTGATCTACTGATCAGTAGAGAGCCCCAAACATTGGAAATCATAACTTTTCATGCTTTCCTTTGGGCTTTAGCTTTATGTTATGGTGATGAGAAATCCCATTCTTTAATTCATCTTCCACTTAACAAGAAAACAAGAAACAGAATGGGTAAGTTGATTCACAGTAGCCATTTAAAGAAGTGGGTGAATATAAATTGGCTAAGCAAGGCCATGGTCAGAATCCTACCACTGAAATGGTACAAACAGCAAAGTCGAAAGATCATTGTTAGGTACTCAATACCAGTTTATTGCCTATAGAGAAGAAAGAAAAAGTATTTTACTAAAAAGCAGCTGATTAACAATTAGCCATTGAACTGACTTGGAATTCAGTACTTCCTTCCCAAGTGTCCATGAGCTAGAGTTAGATTAGTAAACCAGAATGTGAAGTCCTGACTCACAAAAGAGAGGAGAAGTTTATATAAGACCTGGACAAGCAGATAAAAAATAATCAAGAGTTCACTAGCATACCTTGGTCTTTAAAAAGAAAGTGTTTTTCTTTAAGGGATATTTTTATGTAATGGGAACATCTCTGGATAGGTAGGAAGGTAAGCAGGTACACTGATGAGCTCATTCAGAAGTGTTATTAGTGTCTGATTGTGTAATATACCAATGTCTGTCCCTCTATGAGGAGCAGCATAAGGGGAAGCTACAGTTTCCCCTCGTCTCTCACTTCCCAGTAGCAGAGCAATTGCTCACAACTCTGTGGTCCCTTGGTACTTCACGCAAATAGGTATTCCAGCAGACAGCACCTGGTCTCATCAAAATTATTTCAACCCTATTTCTCTCTTGTCTTATACAGGACAAGATGTCTGTATCTGCCCAAATGGCTCCATGTGTAGGCACATAGTAGGTGATCAGTAATAATTGTTGAACAAGATTACCCATTGTGAAGAATCTCTTGGAATGTGTCTTTTGAATCCTGTAGATGAACACCGAAGATATTCAGAACTGCATTTGGCTTTTAGCTCTAAATTCAGGAAGTAAGGCTGGGGGTTTAGAGATATCCTCATCTCAGACCATTTCTTTTGAGCCCAGGGACAAAATTTACTTCCACTGATTACTACAGTAGGAAAACTTCCTTGGTGCTTTATGCCTAGAACACTTGAAACCTAACACAATGTTCATTGCAAGGGGCAGTCCAGCCCCTTCCTGAAACATGTCCATTGTGTCATTAACCCTCATCTGCAGGTATCTTGCCTTATTTTTCCTGCCACTCTATAACACTGACACAATGACTCTTAACTTTCAGATGCACAATTAGAGACCTTTGTTTGGGCTTTTTTTTATTCAAGTGGCCTTGCAAACATGAGAGATTGTTTATGTTGTGAGGTCATCTTCAATCTATGTCTCTCTCAACACTTGGAGCACAGTTCAGAGGAACCTGTCTGCCAGGGAGAAATCAGAACATTGAATTCAGACTAAATCTATATTAAACTGGATTTGCATAAATTGTTTCAAGATTCTAATTTGTTTAATTTGTATTCAACCTTTCCTAAGAACCTTTTATGTATGCTTTGGAATTTCAACAGGGTATGTGTAAGGGTCTTCTCA